CCCAATCTTTAAGTAAAATATGGCACTCCATTGCCTGAAAAGTGATGCCTATTAGAGGGCTTCTAAATGTGCTCCAAGTGACAGCTTTCCAAGCACTGACTCAACCTTTCTTTTCAGAGAGCATTTGCTCAGACAGTGCCACCTGCTTGGCATCTTACTTGGTGCTGAGGACACCACAGTGAATAATGTATAGTCCTTGTTCCCTAAGTACTCTCCCTCCAGGAGATGATGGAGAGAGGAACAGGACGCAATCAGCTATTATTCAGAGCAAGAGGAACCACAGGTGAAAGACGACAACAAAACAGAGGACTTCTCAGAAGAGGTGGAGACAGGCCGGGCTTATCCATGCCAACGTGCTCAGGCGCTAGCCAGAGTGCTGGCTAACAGGAGACAGTGGTCAGGCAGAAGGCTTGATAGCAGCGGACCATGCAGGATTCAGAGGCCATGTCAAGGGAGATTGGAAGGCTACTATCCAAGCATTATAGCCTAGGGGTATACAGTGACCAGGTGGAGGGTGACCTAGGGGTAAGCACTGACCTGCACCATGTCAGGATGATGAGCTGAATTTTATACTCATCTTCTCACCTCCAGGACCTACTTAAATGCTTAGAACATAAGAGGCCCTCATTTTGCTTATCAAATTAATGAGTGAGGCTTTGCAAGAAATGCAGAAAAGTGTCAATGAAGGCAGTGAGGAAAGAACAGGGCAGAAGACATGTCAGAGACCTTGTGAGAAAGATGAGGAAGAGGAGCTATCAGCCACACTCAGGGCATCCCACGTGCTGCTGTTGCAGGCAGTGGTGCCATTCCTGGGGACAGGGAACACTGGAGGGAAGGGGAGTGGCTTGGAGTGTGTTTGTGTGTGAATAATAAATTGTTTGGGGGAGACTGAGTGAGACATCTACAGTACACCCAAGTGCAATTCACTTGGCATTTGCAACCTTGAACCTGAAGTTCAGAGAAATGGGCTGTATTAGAATCACAGCTGAGAGTCGTTGATTTGGCAGGGGAAGCAAAAAGCCTCAAACAAGATGACTAGAGGACAGGGGGAGAAGAGAAGGCCAGATTAGAAACTTGGAGAATGCGGAAGGTGCTGGGACAAGAAAGGGGTGTGAAAGAGCCTGTGTGGGCACAGGCTGGTCGGCGGGAGGGAAGACAGGCAGGAGGGGAGACAGGCAGGAGGGATCTGTGGACTCTGATAGACCAAATAGTCGGTAGATAAGCGTTTCAAACCCTACCACAATTAGCACTCAAGGCCCATTAGAAAGCATTCACTTTGAATTTCAATTTTTCATACAGGAGCTTTGAATAGATCCCCCAAACTTGACAAACAAAGGTAAAACACAGAAGAAATCTCTTCAATCTGATCTAAATACATCATCCCAGATAGTCCATAAACTGTGTACTGTATGTGCTTAGGGCTGGGTGATGACAAGGAGGAACTGTTAACAGAATGTAGGAGCCACATGGCCGGCCTGTCAAATTAGAAATTTGAGCAGATTTCTGTGGTCTATTTTGATCAAGATTCTCAATGTCAAACAAACAGGTTTTTCGATAACCAACTTCTTTCATTTTTGTAAGCACAATAGCACAGTGTGCAACAGTTAGTGAAGAAGCAGGTGGTCCTCGTCGACGTGAAATGAAGGGAACAGAAGAGGAGAAGTAGCACTTCCTTTAAGACATGCAAAGCGCCATCACAGACGGACATGGCTGTAGATTCTCCCTCTGAGAGCTTATCTCCTGTGCAAAACAGGCAAGCCCCTCCTTCCCAGGCCTCATTTTGCTCTAGTACAAATTTAAGCTCTCTCCCGAGGAGGAAAAGGCTCAGGGTTCATGTCTACAAAGTAATGGCACTTACAAAGCACAGAAAAGTCCTTTAAAGAACTGCTATCTAATTGGTACAGCCACACAGAAAGCAATCTGGCATCAGATTCATAGCTTTGACCAAGCATTTCTACTTTAGGGGCTCTCTGCTAAGGAAATGAGGCAAAATGCAGATAGAGCCTTATGCATAAAGATGTTCACTGAAATGCTATTTATAAGCAAAAAATGATAAACAACACAAGTGTCCAACAATAGGAAAATGGTTAAGTTGTGGTATATCCAAATAGTGGGCATGAGAGGTAGCAAATTATTACCGAGAGTGGATAAAAACATGTCATAATGTTAAACAAAGATATAAAATTATATGAAACATATCAGTTATGCATTTACACAATAGATACAGTCACCGAAAGAAGACTAGGAGAATGGTAAAATGCTAACAATGGTTTCATCGGGAATAATGGTATCATGGATAATTTTAATTTCCTTTTTCATACTTCTATATGCTTTTTAGAACATTATCTCCTATGATGAAAAATGCAAGATTGTTACAGTGATTTAGAATAAACATCATTTTGAAAAGTGGATCATTTCCCTTGCCTCATTCAACTCCCTGAAGAACCCTTTCCTCCTGCCTCCTAGACTCTCACCCTCTTGCCCCCTGAAAACTGACAATCTCCATGCACAGTGGGAAAAGCCCGGTGCCCGGCGTCTCGGTTGAACACTTGGCTCTGTGCACCTGGGGAGGGACTGTGCACAAGGCGATGCCTCAGCACGCTCCCACGTGCAGCGCTGGGAATCCTGAGACTGTCTTTCCACCGCCACACAGCAAAACAAAACCCCGAGTAGAGCAATCTGGGGAGGAAAGAAGCCAACTTACCTCCATTAAACTTAAATGGATTCCTATGAGGTAGGGCATGGGAGCGCTGTGAAGAGAAACAGAGACACACGGCTGCTTTAATGTCTGTTGCTTCTGACAGAATATTACAGACGGTTCGCTATTTGGAGAAAAACTGTTTTAATAAACGTATGCACAGTTACATTTCCTTTCACAACAAAAACCCTAATATGACATTTTGTTCCCAAGCTTAGAAACTTCAAAAGAATTTCAAAATGTGGGTAGCATTGCAAACAGCATTGTGGGGGAGGGGTGTTGGAGGAGAGGAAGGAAACCAACCTTGATCAAAAATCACCCCTGGTGTCAGACCCTAAGTAGCAGCCGTGCAACTGCACAGCCTCTGTCGCCTTATCTTGAAAATGGGATGCTGGAATCAGACTGGCATGGGGTTATTGGAGTGAGGGAAAATATATGTCAAGCAATTAGTATAGTTCTCGATACAAACAGGAGCCATTATTGCTGTGATTACAACAGAAAAAGCAGTTTAGGGTCAAATGGAGGGCATGATGTGTTTTAAAAAAGAGTGATTTTTTTATTTGGTATTTCTTTCTGTGATCAAAAGATGCGACTTAACTGTCCCTTCTGATTGGACAAAGCACTTGGATAGCCGCCAGCAGGCATCTCCTCCCCAGTTCCATACACGCCATGCAATGACATGACAATTCATAAAGCCTCTGCCAACTGCTTTATTTACAGGGCAATGAGTTCTCTAAGTTAGTGAGAGCAAGAGGATGAAAACTCCAGAGGTTTTAAAATCTGGGTGTTTTAAATAAATAGGTCCTTCCTTTGGTTTCAGAAGTCTCTCTCCCCCTCTCTCTGTGTAAACATTCTCATTCAAGCTACCTACCAACGATCAATGTGCTAGCTGAGGAACTTAGTATTCATCTTTTCTAATCCACACAACCTTGCAGGGTGGGTACTAACTCCATTTTACAGAGGAGGACAGAGACTTGGGGTAAATCATTTATCTATTGTCACTCAACAAAGTCAGTGGTAAACCTGGCATTTGACTCCTAAGTACCCATTTCTTCTTTCGTGCCACGCTGACTTTGTAACGTGGACTGTAAACTCCTCATGCTCACCTCCCAAGCAATGTTTATCTTGGGGAGAGGTAGGGAGGCCACAGAGCAGAGCGGAAGGGAGTGACTGGCAATGTTTCCATTTGTCTGTCTAGTATGTGGTGCATCCTATGAAATGTACACAGGGTATTCATGACCCTAGAGGAAAGAGGCCTATCTAGGACTGGGTGGCCAGGTACTTCTTTTCTGGGGCAGCTGGTGTAATGGAAATGTGTAGACAAGGATGGCTCTTTGGGGACAGGGTTGGGGCAATAGGGAGTAGGTTAAGTAATGAGGCAGGAGAGGTTTGCTTCCAACTGAATACTAAGGAGTTTTGTCTTTATCTTGAAAACAATGGATAGGCAAGAAAGGGTTTCAAGCATCAGATGTACGTTGTAAAACTGCTCAAAAATTTAAAAATAAAATAGGACACAATTCTCTCATTACCATCCAACAAATAAAATTCTTCAAGCAAAAATCCTTCCCCCAGAATATAAAATGTTTCTTCCTTAATATAGATCTCAGCAGTAGTATATCTTGGAAAACCGTAAAACAGATTGAGTATTAGCAGCACCGTTTGGGTACTATTCTTCTGGAAGACTTTTGTATGAAATAATAGCTAAAGACTAAAGAATGAACTATACACAACTGCAGTGAAAGTGAAGTTGTCCTTTTCTTTCTTCTTCTTCTTTTCTCTCTCTCTCTCTTTTTTTATAAAGGTATCTACTGTGCACATTTGGCTTCTCTTCGCTTCTAGGGGCAAGGAAATGCCCTGTGGTATTTTTTTCTCTTAAACTGTAAACCATTAGTTTAGCTGCCAGCTACACAAATGCTCAAACTTCCCAGTGTGTCTGGCTCTGCTGTCCAAGCTTTTTCCAGTGTACACTGAAATGAATGTGTTTCTAATTAAGTAGCTTCAGGAACACGACAGCTTCAATGTCAAAAATACAAAGTCTGAACCCCGGCAGGAAGTCTTAAGACTGCAAATGTCTCATCTAGTGGGACCTTGCCTAATGCAATGAAAGGAAGCAGGGAGAGTACAGAATTCCAGAAAAATGGCCACTTATTCACGCGTCCAGAAGTACAGTACAGCCTAACACATGGAAGGGAGAAAAGCTCAAATCCATGATATTCAACTAAATCTTAACAATTTTTCCAGCTCCTACATTTAATCATGCAATTGGCCAGTGACTGTGCATTTTAATTAGAATTTCAGAACTGAAAACCCAACAAATAAGTTAACATATAGAAAAAGACATCCATATGACTATGAGATAAAGGTGAAAATAAATACCTACAGCAAAAACCCTCTTTATAATTTAACCATAGGCTCTTATGTACGTAGGTTTTAATGCCATGCCCTTTGTCCTGCGATAAAAGTCAGCAATACGCTGAAACAGAGGAAAAAGGAGTCTCACAGAAGTAACTGCAGATGCAAGAAAGGATGGGATTCACTCTTCAGGAATCGTTAGGTGGGCATTTTTAAAGCCCAATAATATTCTAAAGAGTAATTACGGCCTATCATAAAAGTATAATTTCTTAGCCAAGTATTGTTAGGACTGCAATAGCTCTGTGTTTAGAAAATATTTTAAACACATTTATTCTGAAATCACAGCAGCTCCCTGTTTTGTATGAATGTGAATTTGGACAAATAACTTTTACATTGTGATCATTGGCTTACAGAGCCTCAAATACTTCCCTGCATCTACTACATTTTTGCTCTACAAATACATGATTACAAATTCCAAATGGAGAGAGGAAAGGAAAAGGAATCCAGAGTCTCCTTAACCATCTCCATGTGGCAAGTACAGAGCTGGGTCATTCTAGGTATGTTCTGGAAACATTTCTATTCTCAATATACTTGAATACTTATTGTAGCTACTGACTCATTTTCTTGGAAACCTATTGCCTTTTAATTATAAAAACACGTTTGAGAGAACCCCCCCCGACCTATGCTTACATTACTTTAATGTAACGACTATAATCTTTGTAGTATTTCTTTCTAAAATTGGCCTACATGAACAATTTTATATCTTTGAATTATAAAGTACATATATTTTATTGTTTTCTCATTGGCTATGTTAACATTTCCCATACTGCCCTATATTCTTTGTGATTATTACTTTAAAGATGGCATAATATTCCAAGTATAAACATACTATGGTTTATTGAATGATATCCTTAAAGTTAGACATTAAGTTGCTTCCATCTTTTCACTATTATAAATAACATTATAATAAAAATGAACAACTTCATATGCACAAATTCCCAGACACGAAACTACCGAATCAAAGGGCAGGACTATTTTTTTGTATCTTTTGTTGTATGTTAACAACGTACTTTCCAAAAGGGCAGCATTTGCCACAGTGGACATCTTTCAGGATTGTTGTGATATAATTTCTTAGCAAAGTATTATTAGGACAATCTGTGGGGGACACAGGAACAGCAAAGGGCAGGTATTCAGTAAGTGGCTGTCAAATCTAAATATGTTGTCTTTGGGCCCCTGGCATGGCTGGCATCATGGGTCCAGCCCGTCACTCATGGAATGAATTTTTATTCCAGCCTGGTTCTGAAGAACACCTCCATGTAGGACACCTGCAGACCAGTGATGAGAAGGGCCAAGACTCCATGATGAATGGGAGGTACATGACATACATCACTGTATCATCGTGGGGTTTCTGACGCCCAAGCATGCTCCTGCCTCCCATATTTACCACTGAGTTCAGTAGAGCTGCTCCTAACTTTCTTCTGAAGGGTGCCTTTCCTCTTTAATATACCCTTAAGAATGGAAAAACTACCAAGGAAACAATGCTTCGGTGCTTTCTAATCACTTAGAATGACAAATGCAAAAAATCTCTTATCACTCTCTGGCATATATTGAAAGAAAAACAAAGCAAAATTAATTGGGTAAGTTACTCCTAAAGAACTTCTTCAGAGTTCAACTCATTTGAAGAATTTTCTGATTTAGAATCATCAATGTCCATGTTTTTCCAAGGATATCTCAGTGACAGAACAAAACAGAACTTCTACTAAAAGTGATCTTTCAGGTCTGAAAAAGAACTTGTTTTGCTGTTCTTCTATAAAATTTGAATACAAACATCTGCTTCACTCAGGCAAATGTATACCTGCCTTCCTGCTTGGGTACCTCTCAGCATCCATAGGGACCTTACGTTTCAAGGCTGAACCGTAGTACTATTTTGAAGACATTTTAAACAGCAATTAAACCCAACCTGTACAGAACCAACAACACACTGTAATTAAATTACAGCAGTGCTAATATTAACAGCTATGACCAAATTCATGCATAGGCAGGCCACAATAACTGTGTCAACTACCGTATGGCCGACAGCACCTGCAACATGCCATTGTACATCCTGGATTAACAGAACAGGCAATATCCCTACTCGGCCTTTGTTCCCTGGGAATTACTACACTATCTGACTTTATCAGTTACATCCTGAAAAGTAAAAGTTACTTTTTCTGCCTTCTGTCCTGCAAAGAAAAGGGGCTCTCTTGCTACTGTCAAGGCAGTGGCAATATAATGACCTTTGCCTGAAAGATATCTTCAGTTTGAATCCTCCTGAGGGGAAAGGAATTTTTATTGAGCTACTATAATCACTTTCATGGCTTACACACATATTTGCAAGGTAACTCTGCAAGGTAGGGCTATGATCTACATTTTCAGGTTAGGAAACGGTCTCAGAAAGTTATTGTAATTCGCCAAGGTCACACAGCTATTTGGTGGTGAAGCCACACTTCACACTCAGGGCTGGGGACCCAGAGCCCATGTGTGGTCTTCCCACGATGTCACACAGTACCTAGTCCTTTAGCCGAAAGGAACTGAGCTCTGGGGACCCAGTCTTCTTCCTGCAGGCATGCCACGCAGAGCTCTTCTCTCCCAGGTAAGTGCTGCAGCATCAGCCCTCTCCTAACAACCAACAGGCAGGAGTATCCACACTGCAGACTTATT